AAAAAAAAAAAAAAAAAAAAAAAAAAACTTAATTATACCTAATAATTAAAAATCTACATCTCATGAGCGAACACTGAACAACCTAGAGTTTTTGAAAAGTTTAATCGTGATATGAAAAAGTTTCAATCTCATGGACCATTTGCAATGAATGAAAATGAAGGCTCATCTAGAAGACAAACAAAAAAGTTCAGAGAGAAAAAGTGGCAATTTGGTTATTTTTGTAATATGTAGGGGCAATTTTTAGCCAAGCTTATTTGTGTAATAAGATTATATTAATATTTATATGAATGGAGGATGTCCATTGGAATTGTGAAATTAAGGCACCTTTGATACTGATACACATACTTTCTTGTTTCTTTTGTTTTTACCAAAATTATTTCAGGACCCTTTTAAGTGTGTTATCATAGGTAAATTATTTTCTATTATTTTTGGAGAGAGAGAGGAGGGTAAGTTGTAACATGTTGCAGATAAAATAAAATAATGTTTGACTAAAATAATCGGAGGGGGCTGCTTCAAAGTTGAAAAAAGAATGCAAGGAAAGAAAAAGAAAATTGGAATTTTGCAGTGGCAATGATGAGAAGGAAGGGCACTAGTGGGCGCAGGATAAGCACGTGGAAATTGCCTTTAGAATTGCACGCTGGCAATGGCTTGTCTCCATAGTAAAAAGTAACAAAAGGCCTACAACATCGTATTCTTCTACAGTTCTGCCAAGTAACAAAGCAAAACAAAATATAAATGTATATAAATAATCGAGACACACAATTTTCCTATGTCGAATTTGTGGAAGAATGATTGACAGTTTCATTATTGAGTATGGAGATGCTCTTACCATTGTAAAAATCTCATGTCTCAATTCCACTCTTCATTTTAGCTGTGTAATAGGAAGTTTTTTTTTCTTCTTTTTTATAAACTACTCCCCTTTTTTCCATAATAAGTAAAAAATAAAGTCACATTTTTTAAAAATATAAATAAATTTCATCTACTTTTTATTTCATTTAATGATATTTTTTTTTTAAATATCCTCTTTTAATACATGACTTTCCAATTGTATTACTTTTTTTTTATATTTATAACAATGACAATTTAGAAAAAAAAATTATAAAAATATTAAAATTTCATATAAATAACTAATTTTTTAATAGGCATAAAATTAACTTTTTTTAGTTATGATAAATAACAAAAAAAGTATAGAGTAATAGGAAGATTTTTTTTTTTCTCCTTTATAGATTATGAGAAAAATTTTAATTACTAGAATTGACTTAGTATACATAGTAAAAATAGTATACATCAAGTTATAGATTTTAATCATAGTGTAACTATTGTATAAATAAATAAATAAAAAAGACTTATCATCAATAAGTTACTAGTCCCAACACAACTCAACTTATATACATCTATTAATATCTAAGTTTCGAGTCTTATACACAGCAAAAACATAGTTAAATGAGAAAATTCAAAGGTAACCAACCGGATTATGTAAAAGTTAAAGTTGGTGGATATTTAATTTACACCAATAACATAGTGTAAAATAATATATTAATCAAAGTATTTATAAGAAGATATAAAATTACTCTTTTGTATTATATTTAGAATTAATCACCTATACACTGTTAGTGTAAAGTTTTTTTTATACTGGCAACCAATTATATCTTTTAATTGTGTCATGTCACTATAAACATATTTACTTTTAATAGTGACATGACACAATTAAAATATATAATTGGTTGTCAGTGTAAAAAAACTTTACACTAACAGTGTATAGGTGATTAACTTTTATATTTAAATTATACCTTTTTCATAAATAAACACTCAAAATTTTAATTTAATTGTATTGGTCCTTAAATTTTACAGAAATTCTAACATGAAGCAGTATAAAAAGTGGTACATTAATGAAGCACCATTTTTAACGGTTAGATTTCATAATAAAATAATCAATGGTTCAAATTTGTTACCTGTAACTTGTTTATGAAAATTTTTGTATTTTGTAGATTAGTCCCTGTTTAGGGTTACTATTTTGGCCACCGGCGGGTGGTGAGGACGAGGAAGACGACGACGGCGAGTGCGACGGCGAGGCCGTCGAGGGCGAGCCAAGGGTGGGGAGGGCCGAATTTGGAGGTAGCGAGGTTTAGGGTTTAGAAGAGGCCCTGGGAGAGTTGAATTTCGCGGACGACTGGGAAGGGGAGGTAGCGACAGAGGCGGCACATGAGGCCGGTGGTGCCGAGGAGGAAGAGCTCATGCCTCCGCTGCCACTGTGCGAACGAAGTTGCACTTCTGACTGCCACCGCATGAAGGAGGCCGCGCCTCCGCTGCCACCGCGCGAACAAAGTCGCGCTTTCGCTGCCACCACGCGAAGGAGCCCGCACCTCCGTGCTGCCACCGGGCAAAGGAGGTCGCGCCTCCGCTGCCACCGCACGAATGAAGTCACACCTTCGCTACCACCACTGTGCTTCCACCACCGTGGAAGGAGACAACCTCCGCTGCCACCATGCCTCCGCCGCCAACGCGCCTCCACAGTGCCTCCGCATATAATATAAGGACAATTTTACAATTTTAAACAAGTTAAAAAACTTGCTATTACAGGTCATTTTACTGCCTCATGGATGAGGTATTTCTTTCAATGCTTCATGTTAGAACCGTTCACCTATAAGTATTATGAAATTCGATTTCATTTTAAGTTATCCTTAAACTTTACTGTTCTCTAAAATAAACGCTGAACATTAAATATATTTTAATTCATTCTTATAAATTATCTATTTTTCTAATAATTCTTTATAATTTAAAATTAAATTATTTATCTTATATAAACCAGGATTTTAGTAATATTTTTCTTCCTTATGTTACAATTCATTTTTTTATATTATAATATAATAAAAACGTAAATTTAGAAAATATTGAAAACAATCTAAAAGTCTTTATTTTAGTTTTTAATTATTAATTTGATTATGATTTAATGTTCCCAAAATTTATTTATAAAAGTAAAATTAATAAATGAGTTGGATTTAAAATAAATCACAAGTGCAAATAGAATTTTTTATGACAACAATTTTTTCTTAAGTATGGTTCACATGATATAATAAGTAACATGGTGACAAAGTCATGACAAAAAAAAAATTGTTAAGTATTGTTTCACTCATTATAAAAAAAAAATTATGTCATATCATTGTAATTGTTATAAAATATATTAGAAATGGTCAACTTTATAGTTTAGTCCAAATTTGATATAAGAGACTATGTGTAAAAAGGGTAAATTTTAAAGAATAATTAAAAAATGAATTTGAAATTAGGGTATCTAAATACAAAATAATATATATATATATATAAGAATTAATATAAATAAAATTAAAATTTATGATAAATTTAGCAAAGTTTAAGAATTAATGAGAATAAATTAATGTTTAAAACTTTTATATATTAAAAAAAAAAAGGTAAAGTATTGAGGAGTAAAGTACTGTTTTTCCTATATTTGTTCTTTCCATTTTGTAGTATATATTTTGGTGGGTGTTCGGCTGCTAAGCTATATATAGTTGATAAGGAACGTTAATAACAGTCCCTTCTAACATTCTCCTATTATTTGTTACTTCATTAATAATTACAAATTTGATGAAGTCTACTTCCAAAGTGGGAGAGAATAATTTTTTTTTATTCAAATATTAGAGTTCAATTTTAAATTTAGAGAGTTGCGATTAAAGGTACACTTTACTCTCTTTACTGTTCAACTTGATGTAACTAAGTTATAATTTTTTATTAATAAAAAAAAAACTAGAAAAGAAATAGTTAAAAAAGAAATGTAATCCACTAAAATTTATGATTTTCTATAAGTTTGGATAAAAAATAAAGTGTTTAAAAACGAGTGTAAAGAGATTGTTACTGATATTTTTTTATAGTTCATTTATGATTTAATTATTTTTAGTGTCAACAACTTTACTTTTTAGATTTTATGATAAAAAAAAATATTTTATTTTAGTTCCTTTACATATTATTTTTTTCTTTATTAATTTTTATAATTTCATAAATTTTACCTTTTAATTCATTTAAAAATAGATTGAAAGGGAACCAAAATGGTGCCTACAAGAACTAAAATGAAACATTGTTAGTCATACTACTTAAAGATAAAGTTAATGAAAATCAATAATAAACCTTATTTATTTTACAACTTGTCTCTATAATCTATCTGTAGGTTTGGAAACCCGTTCATATTAATGCAAATGAAATATCTCACTTTTCAATGCATGAAAACATGAAGCAAATTTTTGTTGCTTTTGGGTTCAAAATACTTGTAAGTGGCTTTTACCATCAACGCAAACACTATATCTTTGCCTAAATATGAAGGAACTTGGGTTGCCGTTTTGATCCTTTCTCTCCAAAATGTCCCATTCAATTGTAACTTTGTAGTGTTAGACGTTCCCAATTTATGTAGTTTGACCATTGAAGAGCGTTAAAAACACACCTCTTTGCGTAATCTTTCAAATACACTTTCTATCAATGATTGAACATCATAAATTATAAGTACTCACAAAATTACGTAGGTCTCACCTATTATTTGACAAATTTCATCTATAATTTAATTCAATAACGAAAATTGTGTTTTTGAAATAATGCGATAAAAGTAGCCTTCCTGTTTACCATATTTGTTGCCACTCCTACTTATTTAAACTGCTTTATATTATTTGTTTCCATAGCAAGCCTCTTGCTTTTCCTTTTCCATTGAAACTTCTTCATCTTCTCTCTCCTCCAAAAAAACACTCTATCTTTATTTTATTTTTTTATTTTTTTTTTCATTTTCTGTCCCAGAGTTCTTGAAGTTTTCTATAACACTTTGAGTTTTGTTCAATCATTTTCCGCTGGTGAAACTGGGAAATCTATTAAAGGCAATATAACGAAAGAGCATTTTATGTAAATGTTCTTCCACTAGCTTCTCTATGCACTTCTTGAGTGTCCTGCAGTTCTGAATTATGCAAATAACTAGTCCAGAGTAATACATGATTTAGCAAAAAGAAATTTGACACAGTCATGAAGTTTATGAAACTGGGATCTCGTCCAGATACCTTTTACACTGCAGAGTCTGTAAGGCAAGCATAGATTGATCAATTGATCAATTTGATTGTTTCTATTCGTAGATTATGTATCAGCTACAGGTAAGTAACATGAGTTTCCTCCTTTTCTTTTTATGCAGGACAATCTCTTCTGAAGTTTCAAGTGACCTCATAATTCAAGTGAAAGGAACTAGATATCTTCTTCATAAGGTGTGCTCCTTGAAGCTTATATACTTAAGGATACAAAATTACCATTTTTAATTGACTTTTTCTATCATTTTCATTTTGGTCATTATTTTATTTTATTTTATTTTCTGGTTAGTCACTTATTGATTGTGGGAAGTTCATGTTGATGTTGTTTTGTTCAGTTTCCCCTGCTGTCAAAATGTTTGCGCCTGCAAAGACTGTGCTCAGAGAGTTATGAATCTTCTGATTCTCCTCAGCACCAAATAGTTCAACTCCCTGATTTTCCTGGTGGGGTGGAAGCATTTGAGCTATGTGCCAAGTTCTGCTATGGCATAACCATCACTCTCAGTGCTTACAACATTGCAACTTCGCGGTGCGCTGCGGAGTACTTGCAAATGACTGAGGATGTTGAGAAGGGAAATTTGATCTACAAGCTTGAGGTTTTCTTGAATTCTTGCATCCTCAATGGATGGAAGGATTCCATTGTTACTCTTCAAACCACCAAAGCATTGCCTTTGTGGTCGGAGGAATTGGCCATTACCAGCAGATGCATTGAGGCCATTGCCTCAAAGGTCTTGAGCCACCCCTCTAAGGTGAGTTTGTCACATAGCCATTCCCGGAGGGTAAGGGATGATGTGTCCTCTTGGAATGGAACAGAAAGTCTGAGACACAAATCAACAAGTAAGGGATGGTGGGCTGAGGATTTAGCAGATTTGAGCATAGACTTGTATTGGAGAACCATGATTGCTATCAAATCTGGTGGTAAGACACCCTCAAATCTCATTGGTGATGCACTGAAAATATATGCATCTAGATGGCTACCAAACATAAGGAAGAATGTGATTGTCAAGAGGGAAAGTGAATCGGACTCGGATTCAGATTCAGCTAGTGAGTTGACTTCAAAGCATAGACTGCTTTTGGAGTCAATAGTGAGCTTGCTTCCAGCAGAGAAAGGTGCTGTTTCTTGCAGCTTCCTTCTTAAACTCTTGAAGGCAGCGAATATTCTCAATGCTTCTGCTTCTTCAAAGGTGGAATTGGCCACAAGGGTAGGACTTCAGTTGGAGGAAGCCACGGTTAATGATCTTTTAATACGCTCAGTGTCCAACACAAATGATATGGTGTATGACGTAGACTTGGTGATGATCATATTGGAACAATTTATGTTGCAAGGTCAGAGTCCACCAACAAGCCCTCCAAGATCAAGGTTGACCATTGAAAGGAGGAGGTCTCGTTCTGCAGAGAATATTAACTTCGAGTTCCAAGAGAGTAGAAGGTCCTCCTCAGCTTCTCATAGCTCAAAGCTGAAGGTGGCTAAGCTTGTGGATAGGTACCTTCAGGAGGTTGCCAGGGATGCGAATTTGCCTCTCTCAAAATTCATTGCCCTTGCTGAAACTATACCAGAATTTGCTAGACTTGACCATGATGACCTATACAGAGCTATTGACATTTATCTCAAGGTAAATTTTTGAAGAAAATTTTCCGTTGTGTTTCAGAATTACAATTACTGCATTTTTGTACATGGTAGAAATAAATATTGTCCAAGAGGGTCTCTGGTTGAACTTGTTTCAGTGGTGGGACAGAATTGGTGGATAAACAACATGACCTTAAAATCTTGTCTCATTCATCATTTCTTCGTGGTTTAGGTGTGGGCTGACCCACTAGGACTTTAGCCTGAATGTGGCCACCTTCTGACTAATACTCGCTGTTTCTAATTCTGTTCTGTGTCAGTTAGTCATTTCACTTGGTTAGAACAGGAAAGGAAAGAATTGCTAGTCAAAACTATTAAAGAACATTTTTATTTTTTGGTTCACAGTTTGGTTAGATCACTTCAAGTTTGTTCACTAGGTAGAGATAAAAAGAAAAGGAGATAAATGTTCTTTAGTCCTCCTCATGACATCACTGATTGTGTTTCCTCCCCATTTTCCATGATAAATGCGTTCGTTCCATTAAGCTAAAATTTTTCAAAAGGAGAACTGTTTAAAGGGACTAGTTAGAGTTTAAGCTTGGGAAGTGTCATGTGGTCAAAATTCTCTAACCCTTTTACTTTTAACCACTCCCAACTTATAAAACTTTATATGTTTCTATTTTGTTCAACTTATAGAACTTTAAATGCCCTATTAGTATCACTAAAATCTATTTTGTTTAACTTAAAAATGTAGGCACATCCAGAACTCAATAAGAGTGAAAGGAAGAGACTGTGTCGAATTCTAGACTGCAAAAAGCTGTCTATGGAAGCTTGCATGCATGCAGCACAGAACGAGCTCCTTCCCCTAAGGGTGGTTGTCCAAGTTCTCTTCTTTGAGCAAGCACGAGCAGCAGCATCTGGTGGAAAAGTGAGTGACATGCCAAGCAACCTCAAGGCGTTACTCACTGCTCATGGCATTGACCCATCAAAACACAAAGCACCATTGAGCACCACAACAAGTATACATGCTGATGACAATTGGAGTGTTTCTGGATTTAAGACACCAAAGTCAACTAGGAATCCAACTCTCAGGATGAAGCTAGCTGAGGATGACCTGGATGAAAATGTGGTACCCCGTGATGAAATTGGAAGAACTTCTAGATTTAAGGGTCTTCTTGCTTTTCCCACTCAACCCAAACGAATGTTCAGCAAGTTGTGGGCTACCAACAAAAGTGCCACTGAAAAGAATTGAGTGAACTTTTTCGATTTTTGCATCATGGGGGTGGGAAATTTAGAGGGTAACATATGATATACTATATTTTTCACTTTTTCAAAAGGTCTTGTAACATCTAGGGAAAATCAATGTGCATTGTTCGTGTAACCTATAATAATAAGAAGTAAGATTTTTCACAAGAGGGGAAATGTGTTTGGTAAATCTCGTATGTGAAAAACTGGATGAGGAATCTTAGGTGTAAGTGACGAATTGTAGGACCAATGGTGCCGTGTGTGTCCACGAATCTGAAACACGTGGCTATGTTCATCTATGGTGGTTCACTTTAATGGGTCCTGACTTTGTTGATAAAATTAATTATTGGCGTTTTCATGCTTCTAACATAAAGCAATTAATACTGTAATATCAGATTATGTTCCTCATATCTATTTGCATCCACGCGGATAATCTCGTCCTTATTGAATTGATATTCAATTATGGATAGGACTTGTGACAAATAATTAAGGTTCGACATTTGGTGTTTTGTTCGCAGAGATTTGTCATTAATCTATCGTGCGGTGGAACAAATTAGTGTTAGTAGCATGGTTAACAAATTGATGTGTAATGTAAAGCCGACCAAAAAGTAGCACAAATAAACAAGAAAGAATAAGATCCCGCATTGGTAAGATATGTTTGCTTCTAAGTGGTATTATTAAAACAGCGACAACTGTTGAACTGAAAACCACTCGGTGTGTTTAATAAACATGACTCAGCATTGCATGTATCTATATTTTACTATTCTAAGCTAAAATTTAAAGAGTGGAGATAGGTTTTCCATTTAAAGTGAAACCTTTTCAGGATCACTGAGAAATATGTCTAACAAGTTTTGAGGCCCTGAAATCAAAGACTTCATTAATATCAGCTAATTATTTAGGCCTTGGGTTGACTTCTTAATTGCAGTAGATATATTTGATGGAGGTCACTTTCAACCTCCTTTATTATCGGATTTCTAATTATTATCAGTAATTTGGACTTGGTAGGATTGATGGGATGAATTATGTGCTTAGAGAACTAGTTAGTTCAATCTCACAAACTGAAACCGACCTCTCGGCTCTCACTGTGTTTGGAGGCAGTGAAAGAATTATACTTTTTTTAGTTTCAACAAAGTAATAAAAGCATATGGGAATCATATAGTGGCGGACTGGTTGTGGTGGTCATCATCATCATTGTTGCAATCATGACCACTACTCATCATAGTTTCTTTGACCTTGACTAACTATTGTGAGAGCATGCCTGCATGAATATTCCTATCCTGACATCAATGACTGATACTAGGTATGATTAACAATTTAGCATTAACAAAAATTTTTGGTACTATTCACTTGACGAGTTACTGATTTTGTTTGCTTCTTCTCATGCTCAAACTACTAGTCATTTGTCAAGAATTTGCGGGAATGGGAATGTACCCTCCTAATTCTTGGTGGATCTCTTTATCTTCCCATGGTTCAATGCTTCACTTTTACTATTTTAAAGTTACACAGATGAGATTAAAATTTATGCAATGAAATGTTTTGCTCATAAAATACTACCCACATAAAACACTCCTCGACACCAATATGTTTGTATACGAAATTTAACATTTTGCTGGTTAATAAATTAATCACATGGAAATGACAATGGTGATGTTGTTAATTCTAAGTTCATGTCGTATTTTAGTAGCACTTCACCAAGTCAGTAAATCCATAGGAGTGATAAGGTATTTCAGTGATTTGGAGCGAAGAATATAGGATTGGAGTGATAAAGAAGATGTGAGTTCCAATCTCTCCACTAACAATTAATAATTAATATATATGGATAAAAAAAATGTTGGTAAATCCATTTTATTTTCATCTCTAGGCTATGTTGGTGTAGGAGTAGGTGGTTGTTTCAATGATTCCCAACATTGTATCTTTTATGTGGTTACAAATCATAAATTTGAATCAGAATGTAGCTGTTCATCATCAGGGTACGATGTCAAGGAAAATTGTGTTGATAGACTAGGGTTTATGTTGAATCTCATAATTGGCAATATATGCATAGACTAAATTTTAAAATATATTAATTGCATCCATAACCTGTGGTGTTTTGCTATTTGTAGATTCACAATCCATTATAAAACATCTCAAGACATCTCAGAGAGGGGAAAAAATTGACAAATTCATAAAAAGCTTGTCATATGGACAAAATTAAGTCCAATACCTAATTGCATGCATTGCTTTTCAATTAAAATTGTAGCTTCAGTTCAGTAATGCACACGAAAAAAGTCAGTACTAGTAATTAAGTAAAACTTCAATTTTAATTAAAGAATAGCATTGGCACTTCAGCAACTACACCAAGTTTTGTCCTTTGCAAAATTTTAGTTTCAGAATCAATAAAGTGATTCTTGTTCATGATGCAGAGTTGAAAAAAAGCTTTTCTTATATGATAAGAAAATAATAAGCTTATGCATATATAAGTTAACTTTAATTTATATGAGAGAAATTTATTTATTTTTGTTTTTTTATTTCTTTATAACTGTTTATTAATAAATTTACCCATACAAAGCCTTTAGTGTGAGTTTTGGAGGCGTCCCCTTTGGTCATCAACTATCGAAGCACGTAGATCTTCACAACCACTACATGGTGTATATATTGCTTTACATGAGATGTTATTATGTTTTATGAACACCACAAAGACAACACTGAATGACAGAAGACTGAATACAGCCAGATTTAAAACTTAATGATTAAATAAATTAACAAAGGGCACTACGAAAAATACGGGTTTGTGAAAAGACAACTAGTGCTTCTGTTTAGAATAACATAAAACTTGAAAGCACAATCAAGCAGGAATGAAAATGAT